AAAGTTGGGACTTTTCACGCTTGCATGAGCGGCGAAGCTCCTCGACTAAGCGCGATTATTCCGCATCCCATCATACTTAATGTTAGCTTAAGGAGTATTGTAATGGTGGCAGACAGGTATCCGTGCTCAAAACCCAGTGTCTCGGGAGCTTTCGGGGCATTCCGGGTTGTATTGTACACCATCGAACGAGTTGGCAATGCGAATGACTGCTTGTTTTGTGAAGAGGTCAATGCTTCACGATTCCAAAAGCATTGCATTTGATATGGTTAGATTGTGAAAAGGCGGGATCTAATACGACAACTGATGAAAATCTACAGGCAAATCGTAGCGGATTTCGACTTTTTTGATGAATACTATGGCATATCTGGAGGAACCGATTGCTTAAAGTTGTAGGCCGATGTTAGAGCTCTCCAGCTCGGCCAGGGGTTCCGTCTAGTGGAAGCAAATGCACGCTAGAGAAGTTGCGAAAAAAGGATTCCGAAAACAGCATCGTGAATAGCGGAAGAGGTTTTTTTTGCAAAAAAATTGCACTGTAAAACCTTATGCCTTCCGCAGTCCTTTCCCCATCTCCCCCTTTAAGAAGGGTCCAAAAGGCCTTCAGACATCACAACGTCTTGGATCCGTTTTTTGTGGTGGAGCACACGTCTAATAAATCTACAGGGTGGCTACAAAGTATGGTCCGCCACTTTACACGTCGCTTGCTAACCTGCAAATCCTCGTTTCAGGTATGTTAATAATATATGCTCTGAATAGAGCATGTCAATCTTGCATTACTGTCGAATTATCACGACCGTTAGTGCAAATACTGCAAAGAGATTTTTGACCTTTCCCATACAGAGCTGATGGTGAGAATAATCCGCATCTCTAGCTTTGTCCATCAAATCGGTTCATTGCAGTCATGCAACAATGCTTCGGAAGAGCAGATCTGACCAATGATGTTTTCTCGAAGAATACACCAGGAGAAAACATCGCATATGGAGGTAGTCAGAAATAATCTCCGTGACCGAATTCGCATCATTCAGCGCTGCGTAATTTGCCAGTATGGAGGAGCTGGGAACTGTGCACAAAGATCTGTTTTTCACCAGCCTCAGTGGTCAACATATTGCGATCTGCACATCAGAGGATTTGTGCACACATCAGGAGGAAAGACTCAAAAGTGAGAAAAGAACGTCGAGTTTGCAAGGGGAAACGTTGCTGCACCGCTCAATAATCACAGAGCAGGAAGTCATGCTGGTCGTAATTTTGACGGCAAGTTCACAAAACTCGCTTAACATGCCTCAGGATCAAAGTGGTGTATTCTTGCACATGAACATCAAATTAATGGTGCGGGCTGACGATAAACAAAAACGAGGAAACCCGTCGAAAATGCTAGGCTGCAGCTGCTTTTTATAGCTTAGAGGAGTCGTTCACCCAGGTTTCCGACCTGAATGGATTGTGCCTTTGAGAGGAAGGAAACGACCAACGGCTGTTCTAAAAAAACTTCGGAAGCATTAATTGAAGAATTTGTAATCCATGCACGAATAATAGAAATGGATCTCTAGCGGATCACGGGCGCTGCTGGAATTGGAATGAGTAGCCTGACTTATAATAAGATTTTCCACCATTGTTCATCAGTCTGAGAAACACTTGATTATGTGTTGAGCGGGAAGGCTACATTTACGAATTTCTCGAAACTTCTCCTGGTCTTTGAATACGACGATTGTGCAAAGCGTCGGACTGAATGAATATTCCATCGCATAAATCTGTGTGGCACTGAAAAACTAAACAATTCCGATAACACTTTGTCATTTATTAGCAACGGCAAGTGATCATTGTCTACAAATGAGCTTGACCGTGCCAGCTGCAGTTCAAAGAGCGCATAACAATAACACGGCTAAGAAAGGTCACTACCTTTTTTAACTTAGCCAATTTATTTTGTGTACTAAAACCTAGATAATGGGCTTGATACGTTGCATAAGGGTTTGAAAACAGTTGGCCTTCATTCCGATCAGGCACACAATTGGGGAAGTGGCGTCATCATACCAGGAAAGCGAACCCCGCCACCGGGTGGGAAAAACGCTCAAGGAAAAGAAGAAGAAAACTCAGGTAATGCTGCGTAATTTTCTTGTTACAGGACCGTTTTTTGCGGCGTAATACAGCCGCTGCAGGGCATAAGGTTCCAATTGCTTACCATACTATTTATAATTTATGGTATTTTGATCATGGCATGTTACACCTTCTTTGTAATCTATATGCGGAAAATACCTCTGAGTAAGTTCTGGTTATTTATGCACTTCATTTATTTTTTGTGTTTGAGCAATTGAGCACAGTTAGGAATAGAGTACTTAGCCACCAAAAGTGCAGTAACAGTGTCACAGTGTCAGAAATCGGTACGGTATATCTGATGATGACTTAATTATCTCGGAACAAAAATATGTACATGTAGCCTATGAGGGGGTGTAGGAAACCTCTTGAAGGTGGATTCTTACGAGGAAAGTGCAGCCCATTGGAAAATAACTTAGAAATGGTCAGCGATGCACGAAAAAAAAGCGAGAAAAATGACCTAGAACCCGAAAAATTGGACCCCTCTTACCCGATGAATTGCGCGTTGATGCGCCTCTCATCGCTGCTGCCCTCCTCAACGTTCACGCTTTTTCTCCACAAGACGGCTAGAGGCCAAGACTGCGAGAGATGGGGGCTGGGGCGGCGTACCGGCCGATAGCGCACCAATTACTCCGTGGGAAAGGCCATACTGGATTGCCAGGGGCATATCCTCCAATGCGTATTGCGTGTTGGTTTGAGAGGTCCGTCTGTCTTCCCACTGAGACCTTCGTCCTTATCGTGGAATGCTCCTTTTAATTTTTAATACACTGAATCATTCATTAGGTTGATCAGCAAGGTTCTCAGCAAAGCTCAGCTCACTGCTGAGTTGGATCAAAACTGCAGAATTCAGCTCATAGAATGTAAAAGACTTCCTAGAAGCTCCAGATAGCTTCGCTTCGCAAATTGACTTTGTCTGTGACTTCAATCGCTGTTCAGGGAGTTCAAGCAATCCAAAAGCATAAAGGTTAGAGGGTCCATCGCCAGGCCATGATGCGGTGACGTTCGTTCAGCGCTGCGCGCGCCTGAATGTTCGGAGCTCGCAACAAGGTACTATCACTCATGTCACTAACCAATGTATCAAGTTGGCCCATGCAGTGGTCCGCTGTCAGAGAACACTGCGCAAATCCGTTGTTGTCGCAGCGTGAACTGGCGCACCTTGGCGCCCCTACATTGACATTTTGACTGTATGTCTTCAAATGACATTAATATGCTTAGCGCAAAACGAAAAGGTTGACAGAGATGTTTTTAAGATGGCGAACTTGTAAAACGAGTTCATAAATCTGTCATTCTATCCAGTATGGTGGTAATATTCGGCTTTTTTCTCACTATGGTCGTTTTCTTCATTGGCACGGCCTTGAACGCTGACGCTACCATGTTGAAGCGAGCTGCATCGTCATTTATAACCATCGCAACGGCCGTGAACTTTTTTGTCTACTACACAACCAGGTAGGCTGGAGCCTAGTACGCAGTTCTACTGCTATGGCATCTCATGTTTGACATCGCACGTGTTGTCTCTAAATACTTCATACATTCAATGCTTTCAGCTCTCAGTATCGCCAAATATTCGACGAGCTTCTAGGCATTGGTCGTCTTAAAGGAACTGTTTGGTGCGCAGGAAGCGAAGTGGCTTCGATGAGCCCCACCCGCCGTGTGCATTTTCTTCACCTGAAAACTATTAAGGATTCTACAAATCGTTCTTAAGTTATAGTCTCCACTTTACTGTTTGTTAAAACGTCAGCATTATTCGCCAAATTTTATATTCTTGTGTGTCAACCGAGATTTAGAACATGCAGCAAAAACGCATACACATAATATATAGAAAGCATTGTAGACTGTAATAAAGGAACACCATGTTATGAGTTGTTACTCAGTGAATGTGCTGCCTTTACGTTTGTTACCTGTTGTTCACCTGAAAGTCCAAAAATTGTATAAGTGGGTAAATGTCATCATAGATATTGCTATTAATGTAGGTAAAGGCAAGCCCCTGGTGAGAAGAGCGCTTCGTAGTGATGAATGAGCTCCGAGACAGCCTGAAAGTGGAAAGGGAAGCGGACTTCGCTATTTCCCTCGCGGTATTCTTCCCACTGGTTGGCTTATCCCGGGCCTTCCGTTAAGGGGGAAGGCGGCGGCGCGGGACTTTCTGAGCAGGAATGGTGAAGCCGCGGTATTTGGACGGGCCACCCACGTAGCGTCATAATAATTAGTACGCCTAGGACTATCGTGAAACTAGGACGGTGGAGAAAGTTTAGGAGTTCGGACTCGAAGCAGTCATCTATGATAGTTAGGAAATAGCTGCGGGGGCGCTAACTGAAGGCGACCGTGCGCACTTTAATTCCGACTCAGGACAATTATAATTATGCTGTTTGAGACGCTATGTCGACAACAGTGAAAAGTCCACAGTAGTTTAAATCGAACAAACAGGTAGGTATGAAAATTCATCGAGAATGTGTTAACAATAATCGCCTGACGGCCTCCAGACATTATTTTGATGAGGTAGTTTAGCCACTTTAGGTGTTTTCGTCCTGAAAACAAGGTTCGTTGCTTGACACACTAAACAACCTAGCATTTATTTTTTACAGAATTGTTAAGTGCTGTGATTGATGATCATTACAGAAAAGACACAAGAGTAATAGCAAAAAAACCTTTTTAAGAAAATATGTGAACAGAATAATAACAATAATTATATGAGCGCTAATTGCCACCTTTATTTTCTTCAGCAACACTGCGAATTAGGCCGCTATCGTTGGGTGTGGCCACTTCGCTCCTTCAAAGGTTCTTCGTGTCATCTTCCTAAATTCGCGTTCCCCTCGATTATGCTCTTCCACCTACTCTTTACGGTTTTCACTGGTCGCTTCCTCTGAAGCTCTCAGCTTTCTTGAAACATGTAGTATCAAGCTCGTAGTCGCTGCTCTGAGACCTTTGGTTGGGTGGACCGTATAGATAAGCTTCCTTACAACCTTTTTTCGGACCTTGATAGAGCTAGCTTAGGTCCACCTCAGCATGCTCTTTCGTCAGAGTAGCTCGGCCCTTATCAGTCTGAGAGGGAAGGTGCTTGAGCGTGGAATGCTTTATGACCGAGCAATGGAGTATTTGTCGCGCGTGGTGACGTAAGCTGCACCACTGTCCCTTACGACTTTTGTGCACCCTGGGCAAACCGACTACGGACGGAACCGGAGAACTTGCTCCATTTTATTCATACCGCACTTAGGTGAGCTTTGGCTTTCTACTCAATCTTTATCGAAGACTCCTTCGCTTCCCATTTATCGGGAACCACCTGCTCATGGAATACCTCACCTGTGGACCTGCGACTGGCTCTGTGCACTCCTGCAAGCTGAGAAACTAGGCCTTGTTCACATTCACCATTGACTCGCGTCCTGCCGGAATTCGCTGCATTTTGCATACGGTCCTGGAATATGACCCATTTGACCATCTTCAATTAGGCATATTCCAGAATTTTTTTTACAGACTAAAAACCTGCCAATCGAGTTCTCGGACGACGTTTAGAGGAGGGCTTCTAAGGCAGGGATAGCCGAGTGGTTAAGAGGTTAGACTCATGTCTGCACCTCTGAAAACCGCGAGTTCGATCCCTGCCGAGGCTTAACCATGCCTTGCAAAAATTGCAAAAATGGTTCTAGTACCAGCGTCAGGCCCAGGTTGACAGGCCGGCTGATGAAGACCCCAGTCACACCAAACATGTCTAAAAGTCGAAAAAGAATCAGTGATAAAGCTAGGACGTCACCCGGAAGTGGCGCGCAGAACCCCGCCCGAGTTCTGTGGTCAGTATGCGAGGGCTACCGAGGAGTGAACGGCCTCGGCCAAAGAAGCTAGTTCGAATTGGGACTCTGAACGTAGGATCGCTAACTGGGAAGTCCCGAGAGGTTGCTGATCTGATGACGCGCAGGAATATCCAAGTCCTATGCCTTCAGGAGACGCGATGGAAAGGTGCTAAGGCCAGGGAAATCGGGGAAGGTGTCAAACTCTACTACAATGGGGAAGACACCAAGCGGAACGGTGTGGCCATAGCGGTAGCGGAGTCGCTCAAGGACTATGTCTCCGCTGTGAACAGGATCAGCGATCGGATCATGGCTGTGAGGATAGACACGAAGGAGGGGTACTGGACCATACTCTCTGTACGCACCGCAAGCCGGATGCCCCGAAAGTGACAAGGACGAGTTCTATCTCAGCCTTGACGATGCCATCAGATCGATTCCGGAAGGTGACTACCTCACCATAGCAGGTGATCTGAATGGTCACGTCGGCAGTGAAAGAAGAGGCCTGGAAAGGGTGCACGGAGGTAGAGGAATAGGAGTGAGGAACGCCGAGGGAGAGAGGGTCCTGGACCTGGCTACGGCCCACGATCTGGCAATCTGCAGCACGTTCTTCGCGAAAAGGGAGACTCAGAAGGTCACCTACAGCAGTGGAGGACGACAAACGGAAATCGACCATGTGCTGGTAAAAAGATCATCCCTCAGAACTGTGAAGGACGTCAAGGTACTCCCTGGCGAGGAGCTGGCTCCCAGCACAGGCCACTCCTGGCAGACATAGCCATGGAGCTCCCCAAGAAGACAAGGGTAAGAACCGAGAGGAGAATCCGGTGGTGGAAGTTGCACCGTGCAGAGAAGAGTGACCTCAAACGAAGGATAATGGAAGTTGGTCTCCCAGATCCTGAGGGACCAGTGCAGCAGGACTTGGGGCACTGCAGCTGAGATCATCCTACGATGCGCCAAGGAGGTACTGGGAGAGACGCGAGGTGGATTCAGAGGAGACAAGGCAGCGTTCTGGAACGAGGAGGTCCAGCGAGTCGTGAAGCAGAAGAAGGAAGCATACAAGCGCTGGCAGAAGACCCGGAGCCCCGAGGACCTCGCTGCCTACAAGAGTTGCAAGAGGCTCGCTAAGGCCGCCGTAGCCAAGGCAAAGAACACGGAGATGGACGCCTTGTACGAGAAGTTGGAAAGCAGAAACGCAGAGAAGTTCGTCTTCAGACTGGCCAAAGCCCGGCATCGGGCTACTCAAGATATCAGGGTGGTGAAGAGCGTGAAGAGCAACAACGGCGCCATACTGAGGAAGCCAGCCCAAGTTCGGAGGAGGTGGGAAGAGTACTTCAGAGGTCTTCTGAACGAGGAGTTCTCCCACGAGAACAACTCACGGGCAGAGGCCACAGCTGGTCCCATCGCACTCTGGACAGAGGATGAGGTTCGGCGTGCACTTGGGAAGATGAAGGTTGGAAAGGCAGTTGGTCCGGATGGAGTACCCATAGAGGCTTGGAAGGCCCTGGGAGAGCACGGGGTGAGGTGGCTCACCCGCTTCCTGAATACGGTGACTGCCGAAGGAAGGATGCCGGATGCCTGGAGAACAAGCACTATCGTCCCCATCTTCAAGCAGAAGGGTGACGCGATGGACTGCTCCAACTACCGCGGCATCAAGCTGACTGCGCATACCATGAAGCTGTACGAGCGACTGGTCGACTCGAAACTGCGGGAGCTGGTCCCGATCTCCCAGGAACAGTTCGGGTTCATGCCCGAAAGGTCTACAACGGATGCCATCTTCATCGCAAGGCAAGTGATGGAGAAGTATCGAGAAAAGCGCCGACCCTGCTACCTAGCCTTCCTCGACCTGGAGAAGGCGTTCGACCGCTACCACGAGCGGTACTATGGAGAGCGCTTAGGGAACGGAACGTGCCAGAACACCTGGTCTCGCTGGTGAAGGACATGTACGATGGGGCGAAGGCAGCTATACGCACCCCACACGGCCTAACGAAGGAAGTGGACATCACGGTTGGGGTGCACCAAGGGTCAGCTCTGAGCCCGTTCCTCTTCCTCCTAACACTAGATGTCCTGGTGAAGGGGCTCATGGAGGGACCACTGAAGACTATCCTCTATGCTGACGACGTCGCCTTGATAGCTGATAGTAGAGAGGAACTTCAAGCCAAGGTGCAGAAATGGCAGAAAGTCCTGACAGAAGGTGGGCTACGGCTGAATGTCAAGAAGACCAAGTTCCTGAGCTCCGAAGAGGGTGCAGAGCCGATCGTGGACGGCCATGGTGAGACCATCGAAAGAGTGGAGGACTTCCGATACCTTGGGAGCGATCTGGCAGCCGACGGTAGTGTGGATCAGGCGGTGAAGGCTCGGGTCAACGCTGCATGGATGAAATGGAGGGAGTCCACTGGAATCCTCTGCGATCGAAGGTGCTCCAGAGCGCTCAAAGGGAAGGTGTACCGGACAGTGGTAAGGCCTGCGATGCTCTACGGCAGCGAGTGCTGGCCTTGAACAAGAATCACGAAAGGCAGCTTCACTCTGCCGAAATGAGGATGCTGAGATGGGCCTGCGGCTGGACGCGACTGGACAGGTTAGAAACGAGGATGTCAGAGCGGTCATGCAGACTGCCCCTGTCCAGCTGAAGGTACGGAAACAGCGTCTGCGATGGTATGGGCATGTGCTAAGGAGGCCACAGGACATCCGATAAGAACAGCGATGGACTTCGAAGTACAAGGCAAGCGACCGCGAGGAGCCCCAAGAAGAGGTGGAAAGACGTAATCAAGAAGGACCTAGGTGAGGTCACGGCCACGATGGAAGATGCCCTGGACAGAGCAAAGTGGCGACGACTGACAAAAACAGCGGACCCTGCGACTAACGCTAGGGAGAAGAAGAAGAAGAAGAAGAAGTTTAAAGAAGGGCTTTTCCCTCATTACAAATCAACACCAT